TCATCTGGCCCCGATGGTGCTGAGTGCTGCTCGTGGGTGCACAGCTTTAGTAACTCTGCACGCTGAGAGGCGATGAAAGGAGGAGAGAGGACACTTGTATGCCGCCCAAAGAGTCCTTTATTTCCCCAGGTGGGGCAAGAAAGGTGCCCTCTGAGTGGTTGCAGTGACAAATGCTGAAGAAATCAATGATTACAGCAACTTAAATAGGGGGTGGGTGGACTGGGTGCAAATCTGTCTTGCCCAATGGGGATAAACCAGAGAGGGACAAAACAACCTATGATAATGTAGCAGGGGTAGGTACAAAGTCAGGTGACAAATAGAAAAGCTAAGCTGGAGTGATTGATGCAAAACTTTCTGGAAGAAACTGGGGGTGGTTAGAGGATTGACAGACAAAAGGGTATGAACAAACTCGGATTGATAGAACCAAATAAGGAGAAAACAGGGAGAGGTGAGATGATTGACACAAAACTGGGGAGCCAAGTGGTGGGAACTTTTGGGGTAAGGGGACACATAGGGGAGCATAAGGCTAACTAACATTGATAAAACCGTCTTTACTCTGTGGTGGCTGGTGATAGGACCCAAGGGAATGGCCTGAAGTTGTGTCATAGGAGATTTAGGCTGTATCACCTAGAGGGTGATTTGGCACCAGAACAAGCTCCTCGGGGAAGTGGTCAGAGCACCAAGCCTGGCAGAGCTCTAGAAGCATTTGGCCAATGCTCTCAGGTACATAGTGGGACTCTTTGGTTGTCCTGTGTAAAGCCAGGAGCTGGATTCAATGATCCTTGTGGTTCCCTTCCAAGTCAGCATATTATATGATTTTGTGTGAGTACAGTCCTGAAAATTAACTGGGGGAAGGACATGGGAGTGGCTCTCCAGGGACAAGGCCTCAGAGTGACCACTGAGGAGGGGGTAGGGAAGGAGCCCAAAGCCAGGGTCCAGTTACCTGGTGACCCTGGGAGAAAGCTCTGGACAAAGGGGAAGGGTCACGAGGTGATGGACACGTCACCTGGGAGGAGACAAGGGGGGTGAGTCAGGGATTTTGGGGTTTGATGGACATACAGGTACTGATGGGAAAACTGGGATGAACCAAATGGATACAAAAATGGGATATGGAGGGACAAACCATTATGAGGGGATATAAAGTGCAAACACAACTCCACAGCCTTCCTTGGTACAGTCTCTAATAGTTTAATGTTTTTCTTATATTGTAGCATCCAAAACTGCCCCCAGCACTTGAGGTGAGGTTGCCCCAATACAGAGCAGAGCAGGAAAATTCCCTCCCTTTCCCAGCTGGTGATGCTGTCCCTGATGCACCCCACGACAGGGTTGGGTCTCCCGGCTTCCAGAGCACTTCTGACACACATTTAACTTGCAATCAATCAGGACTCCCAGGTCCGTTTCAGCAGCACTCCTCTCCAGCTGCTACGCTGCAGAATTTATCAGCCATTGGCCAACTACCTTTTCAGAATATATTTTTCCTAGGAAGGCTTTTCCATCCAAATATCTAGGACATTCACACCAATGAAGCCTTTTGGCATCCCCCCTACTCATCAAAGTTTTTTGACATTTTTTTCCCTTTATCTGACCACTGGCACTTGATTAGATCTGTAATCATTACATTTACTCATGTTTTTATGCTACACTGTGACCGGGATTATCATGCATAATAAAGCACTACATAAAAATGCAATTAAATACAGTGAAAGATACACTAAGAGGGGTAAAATAAAATTCCCCTTTGGGTTCCATTCCGTAAAAGCACAAGCCTGATATCTCGACATGAAATACTAATAATGGTATGTTTTCAAGTCTTTATGCAAGGGTTCTTTTATCAAGTGTGTTCTCTTATATCAATTAATTTGCAGATTATTAGTAGACCTAAAATAGATGTCCAGTTCTTTTATACAAGTAAGGATATTAAATAACACGGTATCAGTGTCCTGTAACTTAGCTCAAAGAAATTACTGGCCATTACTGACCATCATATCATACATATGATAATATTTGCCAAAGCATTCTCATGCCAGTCTCATTTTTCAATACTGATGACTTGATCTGACTGAAAAGTCTCAGCTAAGCAAAACTGCTTTCAAAGTTATATCTGCTTTAAATGTTTTAAAAACCTTTCAGTAAAGATTACGAGGTCATTTTGTATCAAGCTCCAGGAACCAACACATTTGCAAACAAAAAAATAACGCATTAAAAAAAAAAAAAACACAACACATTTTCAAATTAAACTATTTTACAAAAATTGCATACTATTGCATATTCAATTACTGTAGCTGTTTTGTATATTACACAGCGACCTAAAACCAGCATTTTCCTTCAGAGGAGAAGGACTTATCCGCTATAGAAATAGATTGGGTCATATTCATCTCCTCTATCCTAGGGCTGGCAGTTTTTTCTAACTAGCTAATTTTTTCAGTCACTGGTGCCAAAATTACATAAGGAAAACTGTAATTTAATGCTTTTTGTGCCAGTCTAAATCTATGTCAATGCCAAAACTGACACTACTATGGAGGGACCACCATTGCTGCTGCAGTCATTTATGAGATGCTTGACTCAGAATTCTAACTACCTTATATTCATAACAGTAGTTTATTCCTTCCTGTGTTAATGGTTTCAGTCTACCTTTGATTGTATTAAGACCTCACTTTATTTAGTATGTAAGCAATTTAAAAATAATCATATGAAAACATCTCCAATTTGTTTACATGCATACTCTTAAAAATTGAAAGTAAGATTTCTTTTTTTTTCACTGTGATTGCATGACCAAATAACTTCTTGGTGAAAATATTCTATTCTATTACTTTACACAGCATAAGCCAATTTTAACTCTAATTATGAAGACTAATTTAGCTGGTATTACCTCAAGACAATGCTTTTAATTTTGCATGAGTACTGTCCTGAAGTAGAAAATGTATTTTATATGAGTTTGGTTAGTAGCTAATGAAGCTGAAAATTTAATGTGTAGGTAACACTATCATTCAAACACTTGACAAAACAATTCTGAGAAAGTTCACCAGTACAGGAAAAAACAAAAAGCGTGCATGTGTTTTGTTTTTTTTCTTTCCTGGAAAAGAACAAGACAAGGACATCAACAATTCATCAATCAACAGTTTCAGCAAGGCATTCCTCCCATAGGAGACAGTCCTCTATTTACTTCTCCAACATGAGTCCTTCCCATGAGCTGCAGTTCCTCCCAAACTGCTCCAGCAATTGTCTCTTCCACAGGGCACAGGCCTTCAGGAAGAGACTGCTTCTGCATGGAACCCCACGGAGAAGTCTTGCCAGCAAAGCTGCTTCAGCATAGGGTCCTCTTTCCATTGGTCTGCAGGTCCTGCCAGGAGCCTGTTCTAACACTGGCTGCTCACAGGGTTACAGCTGCCTTTGAGCATCCATCTGCACCAGTGTGGGCTCCTCTGTAGGTGGATCTCTGCTCCACTGTGGACCTCTATGGGCTGCAGGAGCACAGCCAGTCCCACCACAGTCTTCACCACAAGCTTCATGGGAATCTCCTCCCTCTCATTCCCCACTGACCCTGGTGTCTGCAGAGTTACTTCTCCCAAATGTTCCCACTCCTCTCTTCTCTGTCTGCAACTGCTTCTGCCCAGTAACTTCCTTCCCTTTCTTAAATAAGTTTTACCAGTACCACTGTCACTGATGAGCTTAGCCTCAGCCAGTGGCAGGCCTTGAAGCTGGCTGGCATTGGCCCTTTCAGACATGGGAGAAGGTCCCTCCTATTAGGTGTTGGCTGTGGGGCAAAGGTATGCTCCTGCCACAAAATCTTATCTACTAGTATTCACCTGCTTTTTCCTCATTAGATTAATTCAGTGTGTTAGCTGTTTGTTAGCAAAGGATATTTTGTAGCATCATTTCAACTGTAGTTTTAATGGGCTATGCAGATGCAGGTGATTCACAAAGTTCAGTGTGAACTTGAACTGTATTTTTAGAGCAACATACAATGCAGGGATAAAAAATATATGTTAAAAAAGATATAGTTTCTGTGCAGAGAGTTGATGGGCAGAAAAATAATAGTTTTCTGAGAGTCTTGAGGTTGGTTTTTTGCACTGCTTTGGATTTCTAGCATTCACAGTGTAGGGCTAAAATACCTTAATAAATTATTGACTGTTTGCATCCAGCTGAATTTTTAATTTTTCCCAAGGTATTCTGAAGCTGTAGACTTTAGGAAGTTGTTCTCCTTAGGAAACACTAAAGAAACAAAATCAGACAGTGTATGTTCCAGACACATTCTCTAAAATTAGAATGTGCCATGCACATTAACTTATTTTGGGTATGCTTTTTTGTTTGTTTTGGATTTTTGGTTTTGTTTTATTTGGGTTCTTTTTAAACGCAGTGAATATAGAAAAGTAATTCAGCTTTTTCTCACAAATTATCTTCTGATTTCTCAGTTGGAGAAGTCACAATGAGATTGCAATTCTCAGATCTGCTGTGATTCATTCAGAGTATGAATCTCCCATATGGACTTCTACTCAGACAAAACCACTTGAATTACAAAGTCAGTGTTCCAAATTAGTTTTAGTCAAGGAATTATTGCAGAGAGAAGTCACTAACAAAAATTATGGCCATAGATAATTTTCTTGCAGATAAAAAGAAATATTTGTTCCATAACATAATTTATTAATTTTAGCCCTCTGTATTAAAATGAGCTTAATTTTACTTTGCTCAATATAGCTAAGGTCTATTTAAAGAATTAAATAGCTTTCAACTCAGTGCAAGCAATTATTTGTTTGTCATGTTTGCTGAATTGAAGCAAAAGCAAGCTAAACTAATTTTGTCATTCCTAATTTAAGAGTTTTACTGAAAGACAACAGGATGAAGAGTTAGGTTTGTATACTACCTGTGAGAATGGGAAGGAAGGAGTTTATATTTGTTGTTTTGGTTGGTTGAGTTTTTTTCCTTTTGTTGCATTTTATTTAATTTTAAGACTTAGAATCTCAGTAAGTGATGACAACTAGTTTATTTTTTCTCCCTAACAGACTTTTAAATCCACACCTAACTCATTACATCTAACGGAGACACCGTAACTGCTCGTTCTGTCTTGGTCCCTTGGGAAGGACCAAGAAAAGGGGTTGGACTTGGACCTGGACCTCACTGCCACTGGTCTGTAGAATATAACATTTGGTCATATCTGTCTCTCTCTGTATGTGACATTGCACACAATGTGAGCTACAAAATGGAACAGTATTTCTCGTAGCCTGTATTTATGTGTTTGCATCTGTAGACACATAAATACCTATATACTCTTCCCTTATGATATATAAAGATATAATACCAAGCAAGAAGGGCTTCCATATGAAATCTTTTAATCTGATGACCCTGAAATTACTTATATTAAATTTATTAGAGAATGCTAGGCTGAAATGTAAATTTGGTTCCCTTTAAGGAAATAAGGAAGCCTATCTGATTTATTGGTATTTGTCAGAACTCACTGGTAGAGGATGTGATATTTGTTATGATCTTCTCAGGCTGAACAATGACACCAGATATGTGTCAGTCTTTTATTGTAGTCTCCATAACCCCATCAGCCAATCCACTGCTTTAGACTCACAAGGGGTTGGCTAACAAGCCCTTAAATGTATACAGTAGACTTCAATAAGTTCTTGACTCTCACAACACACAACCGAAGGTGCTCACAAGCCACAAACACTTGAAAACAGAGTGTGGAGTAGAATACATCTTTTTTTTTCCTTTCTGTCAATTCAATTTTTAAATTTTCTTTTAAACTTGTTTGTATCACAAAAGAAACCAAAACCAAACCCCAAAACCAATCTAAACCAAAAAATGCACAACATTAGGGTCTTCTGGAAAAGGTTTTGAGGCTAGCTGATATTCTTCATCTTCATCAAACCCCTCAGAATGACCTCAAAATGAACTGTGTTTAAGCCAAACACACTAAAATTGGTAATTGAGCTTGAATACTTTCTATTTTAAGAGCCTGAATCTTTGCAGTTCTGTAAACGTGTAAGTACTGAAATGTACAATTGCTCAGTGTGGTTAGTAATGAAAATACAATGCACAGTCTTGTAACTGTTACAGAGGTTGAATTAATTCCAAGTCATTGAAGACCTGGGATGCTCTTAAATTTGGAATCAAAAAGCAGTGTGCTAACTGTACCTTTTCTGGGATGCCTGTAAGGCTGCCTGATATTTTCTTTCTGTGCTGCTATGGTATTGTGTTCCCAGACATGTAAAAAGAGAATGGGCAGCAAGTGTAGTTGCAAAACAACATTTGAGTGAACCAGAACAGGAATTTTGCAAAGCATGTGGATGATGGATTCAGGCATTATTTTGGCTCACCAGCATCTTCAGTGTCAAAAAAAGATAGGAATTTCTGATACAAGGACAGAACTAGCATCTGACTGTATTCACACTTGTCTACTATCATTTGTGATTTAGTGAGACAGTGATTAGTATATTTACAATGCATCTATTGCATTTAGTTTGGGCACAGGATGAATGAATATAATGAAATTTATATGAGACAGTTTGCTAGAGGTTGGAATGTGCAATTGTTAAAATGGCAATAGGTATGGCAAAGGTATTGATGGAAGTTACGGTGACCTGTTTAAGTTGTAATAGGTGAGAAATCATTATCTTGAAGTTATGTATGTTAAACAGTAAAGTCTCATGCTGTCTCGTAAGAATTACAAGTGTGTCACTCCTTTCTGAAGAGATACTCTATCTCTTCTACAGGGTTTGAAGAATAAAAGAGAAAACCAGATAGCTGGAAAGATGGGCAACAATTTTTTTCATATATAAATTGGTTGTAATCTATTTATTTTTATGTGCATAACAAGGTGTTTCCTGTGCCTTTTCAATATAGGCTTTTATTTTCTTCAGCCCATCATTAACAATGTTTTCTTCTCATTCTCACTTATTGGAGTGGGTACATACTTGTGGGTATTTATAAAACCAAAAAAAGGTTGATTCTTGTAGGTTCATATAGGGGGGACATAGTACAACTTCAGGATATTTAAGATCATCCTGGTTGAAAAAGTATACATAAAGATCACCAATTATGTCTGTAGACAGGAAACAGATGCATACATACATTATTTTTCCACTTCATTCCCATCTTTTTATTTTAAACTCAATGTGAACATAGAAGCTTTGCAATGCACCATATGGGTCAAATAAATTAACAGTCCACAGAGAACAAGGCAGTTTAAATAAGGATGTATATGAAGAGTAGTTTTATGCTGTTTTGCAACTGAGGCTGAGTAAACAACTATAAACTGAAATAGGGACTTAAAGTACTTTTGATAATTGTGGTATGATAGTTTTGGTTCTTAATTTGAAAATAAAAAGTAGACCCTTTTCCATTTGAATAATAATACATTTTAGGAAATCTGACACAGTATCTACAAAGTAACTACAGTGACAATCTATCCCTATACCCATTCAAGCACAATGATTTTTATTTTTGTGTATTTGGTGCACATTTATCCTAAACTTTCTATTTCATTCAACTTTCTGTTTAAACCAGCAAAGACTTGCATTTACTTCCGAGGAGCTGGATCAGGACCACAGTTAATTACTTCCCAAAAATTAATTTGTTCTTCCCTGTTATGGATCAGCTCTTAAGACAACTTGTAATACAGCAGGAAACTAGGGGAAAATTTATATTTCTTATTCTTTGAAAAGCTAGAACTCTGCTCAGTACATGGATTACAGCTCTATGTCTGGTAATTGATGTGTCCCCATTAAAAATAAAAACTTTAAAAATAATTCTTGTACATGAAGCATGAATGAAAATTCATTTTCTTCTTAAAATGGGAGACATGGGTGTTTTTATGTGTAAAAAAAACCCCAAACACTGCAAAACAAGCTCTGAAATTCACTGCTACCAGTAAAAGATACATTTCTTACATCCGCATAGACTAGAGGAACACTGGATTTAGACGACTAAATTTAAAAAACGGTTTGACACTGATTAACTTGAAAACTACATTTTCCCTCACATGTAAATGGTGTCCTCATAATGGTGTTGCAATGAGTTCTCTTATCTCTGCAGCTATTTGAAAGACCTAAATAGATATATTCATTTATACTGGTCATATGGCAATATTTCCCTTCGCTCTGGAAAAGCAAATGTAACAATAAATTTAGTATTTGTGCATTAGACATCAAAAAAAATGAAGATGTTGAGAAGACAACTGCAGTCATTCACTCTACAGAGTATATTTCTGAATTAAAATAGCATGCTTGTTTAAAGATGCTGGATTCGCTGTGTGCTGGTGCTTTGCATACACAGCTTTCTATGTGACACAGTGAAAGCAGAAGAGAAAATGCCATTCTGAGGTCAAGTTATTAAGTAAAACAGAATGTGGTTGAAGAAGGTATATATCTGTGTGTTCTGATTCCTAATGAAGACAATCTGAACACATACTCACACTGATGTTGAAGACAGAAAGGTGAGAAAGAAATGCTTCATGTAAGACTTAATTAGAATTATTTATATAAGTTGGGACTCACATAGTTGTAAGCAACCTTTATTCATTTACATTTAAAGTTTAAAGCCCATACTTGATTTTCAGGGTTTTTTGTATGTTGAGGTAAAACTGATGAAGACTAGTAACTTTTATTGAACAGTATTCTTTCCATGCATGGCAGTAGGATAATTTAACAAAGTATGGGTAAGTTAAGTCCTCTGCATGAAATCCTGACTTCACTGAAGGAATATCCTTCCATTGTGTTTGGTTTCATGCTTCACGAGCCTTGCATTTCTGGTTATTTCTGGAACCATGAGCTGAAATTCTCCACTTCTGATATGTTACAGATTAGGCTGAAAATGAGACATTGGGCTCTTAGGCCTGTACAGCTACTCATGGCAAAAGCAATTTTGATTATTTTAGTGCAAAATACCCAAAATTAAATTTATCTCTGACTCAGCTCGGTGAGCTGTTTGCCATTCAGTAGAGACAAAATGTAGAAGCTGTCCTTGTACACCAGAATATCAGTGTTAATCTGTAATTTTTCTTCACCTATTAGTGTGCAACAGCCATCTGACTTGGTGAGAAATTTTAAGAGAGATATTGTTAGGATTAGTAATGTTTTTAACTACTCTGGAAAGTTATACCAAAACATACCTGACTTTGCTATGAAGTCAACCCACCCCAAAATAAATATATTTTACACACTTAGATTTATGTGACTGGTGTATGTTTTCTTGTACTTTGGGGAAAAATGAAACAATTTTTACACAAATATTTGAAAAGGAAATATTTTTTTCACTGTTAAAAATAGTTATAAGTCCTCAATCCAAAATGTGTATTTTGCTCCTCAGATACTTTGGAATGCTAAAATTGGAAAGCAGCCTAATTCTCAGTATTTTTAGTGAGATATATGTATTTTTTTCCTGTTTTCTATGTAGCTTCAATCTTATCTCTAAATATTATGGTCACTGTAAAGTTTTATGTAGGAAAAAAAATCAGTCATTTGTGTTGAGTGCTAGCTCAAGTGACATTTTCTTGTTTTGCAGAATCGGATCTAAATGCAATGCGTTTTCTTTGTAACCACAGTAGGTTAACATTGAATGTGTACCTCACCTAGGAACCTTTACTAATTGTCAGTGCCTCTTTTTATAGGTTTTGCCTTATTTTTGTCCACAGTCCAAGACAGGATTTTTGCCCAAGTATCTCAGCATGGATTTAAACACCTTTATAACCAGCACTGCAATGTGCTCTGTTTGCACAGGTGTGCTCTGTATAATGATAACATACTTGGTGTGAATTTTACTTCAATCATAAGAACCCTTTATGTTCTGTTTGCTTCACTGGATGTTTGTTGGAGGTTTAAGCTTTGAATGCATATCTAAATTTCAAGTCAGTAAGTTCTTTTTTGTTAGAATGATTTTTTAAAGATCTTGAAACTCAGGCTTTACCTTAGCTTTGTCGTACTATATTCAGAAAGACCATGAAAAAGTGCAGTACTTTGGACATTTCCAAGTCTATTTTGTTTCTAGAAATCAAGTAGAAAAAAATGTATTGCAGCCTTCCACTTCCACCACTCTCTATCAATAGTGAAATCATTCAAAAAATTCAAAGCAACTTTTCATGAAGAAAAACATTCTTAAATGAACGTCATTACTGACTTGTCAGC